GGGCCGCTCCCCGGCCCGCTGAAAAACCGGCAAGCTGCGGGCAGGGGGAAACTTTCGTTGGGTCTTACGCTGGTATCTACGGAGGGAAACGGCAGAGCAGCGGGAGACCCGAGGTCTTCTCCTTCGCCTGTTTGTGCACCGCCACACATGCTCAATCGGCGTGTCCCCTGCCCATCCGTTCAGTTTTCAAACGTGCGAGACTTTTCGGAGGGGACACGTTTCAGGATTAAGGAATCGCTGACTGAGAAAAGCTACCTTTGAAAGCCCGTGTGGAGAAAAGAGCGTTTCGGTTCGTAATGCCTTGTGAGGGGATGTGCTTTTGAACCCACGGGGACTGATTGCTGTACCTGTAGTAATCCTCCTTGCAGTAAATACTGCCGTCCTTGGCAAAGCAGGTGAGTTCTGACTCCAAAGCCAGTTTACATTCACAGCACTTAAGACACCTGAGGTGCCATTGTTTGTCAACAGCCAGCAGGTAATATCTGTCTGAGATCTTCCCTCCACAACCAGCACACAAAGCAGGCTTCTCGGGGCTCATTGGGGGCATGTTCTGCAAAACAACCACACCACAAGGGGATGAGACAGGGAGAGAAAGACAGGCAGGCAGCCCGGGCTGGGGACGGCGTCCTGCGCGGGGCCCGGGGCTTGTACAGAGGCTGCTCCCCGGGACCAGGCTCTGCTCCCGGCGGGAAGTTTGAGGGGGAACCGGGACCATCCCCGCTAGGAAAGTATTAACCGCGATTCAGCTTTCGTGTTTATCCCATTAAACCGCTCCTAACGATCTAATGTCATTTCAATATGTGAAGGCAACTGATCAGGCCTCGGTAAGAAAAGCGGAGCCCATTGTTTTCTGAGGTCCCCAAGTTGAAGTCTGTGGCTTCCCCGTTACTTTGGCGGTTCAGTCTCGGAGCGCTCCACCGGGACGGCGTTTGCAGGCAGGAAAATGCCGGTTTGCTGCACCAAAAGTTCATGGCAGAGGGTGCAGGCTTGCCCCGCGCTTCCGGTAAATTTTCCCCCGTGCTTAAAAAAGCCAAAACCCCGTCTCTAAAGAAAACCAGGCCATTCAAAACAGAAGTAAGAGAAAGGAGACAGGTGAGTGGTGTAGAGACCAGCGAACGCTCGCCACCCCGGCCAGGGACGGGGAGGGAAAGGTGGCACAGGCTGGTTTCAGCTAAAACTAGCACCTTTTCATCGGCAAACTTGGCAAGTTCCCGTTAGTCTGCTCCCCACGAGGAGTGTCGCTCGGGACAAAGGCAGACGGAGGGACGGCGGAGACAAAAGCTCTGCCGTGAAACTTGGGGCAGCGTTTGCCGATAAAGTAACGGG